AATAAATAAATAAATAAATAAATAAAACTGCCTTGCAGAATCTAGCCAATAATTTATGCACATATGTAACCAAACATATGGGTACAGTACGACATGTAGAGAACAAAAAAAGCCTAAGTTACACCGCAGTGTGAGGAAGAACCAAATTTTGGCAATAGACATGAGTTACGGAAGAGTATATAAAGCTGACTGTTCTTCTAGTTCTAATTCTACCAGGGATGTTTTGGTTTTAGTGATGGATAAAAACGTATTCTACGGTGCAAGTGAAGCCCCCGCAGCTTCAAAATGGCTCTTCTGAAGTTCACCTACAACAAATAACTTTCAACTTGGTGTCACCCCCGCAGCACCCACAGGAGGCTGGTTCCAGGATGTTCTATGGACAACAAACCCTGAGGGTGCTCCAGTTCCTTATGGGAAGTGGCACAATAATAGCGTGTAACCTGTGACTTTTCTGCCGGATGGTTAAACCGCTGCTAGATCCCTTAAAATTGAGATATATCAACTGTGGGTTTGGTTCGTTGAGATGCATAGACTGTGGATGTGTGATGTTTAGTTAGTTAGTTAGTTAGTTAGTTAGTTAGTTAGTTAGTTAGTTAGGTTTTTTCAAGACAGTTTCTTTGTGTAGTTTTGATGCCTGTCCTGGATCTCACTCTGTAGACCAGGCTGGCCTCGAACTCACAGAGATCCGTCTGCCTCTGCCTCCTGAGTGCTGGGATTAAAGGTGCGTGCCACCACTGTCTGGCCTCTATGTCTACCCTAGTGGCTGGCTCTGTCCTCTGATCCCCAGATAAGTTTATTAAGGTACACAATATATTGGGGTACACAATATATCACCACAGGTTCTACCTCCAAAAAGAGTTGATCCAATTCTCATACAGATGCTAGAGTCTAAGAATTTCAAGTTTCAAATCTTGGACTATAACAATGAGAATACTGTTTTACAACATGTAGCATCCATGCAATTCAATATTAATCTGTGCCAAAAACTAATTTTTCACGTGTTCACTGTAGATTTATAAAATTCAAACCCCACATTTTATAAAGTATAATGAACACCAAATAATCAAAATTAAAAGAGCAAAGGGCACAAAAAAGTCGATGCATCAAGAAATAAAATACACCGGGCGGTGGTGGCACACGCCTTTAATCCCAGCACTCGGGAGGCAAAGCCAGGCGGATCTCTGTGAGTTCGAGGTCAGCCTGGGCTACCAAGTGAGTTCCAGGAGAGGCGCAAAGATACACAGAGAAACCCTGTCTCAAAAAACCAAAAAAAAAAAAAAAGAAAAGAAAGAAATAAAATACAAATGAAGGGGCACTGGCTACTCTTATAAATGGCCCATGTTCAGTTCCCAGCATCTACATCATTAGGTTCACAGCCTGCTACCACTTTTATGAAAATCCTGTGTTCAGAGCCCTGTGGATACAGAGGATGGCTACCCATACATAACAAAATACTAACTACGCCGGTGAGATTTTAAATATCTATATCAAAAAGGATATCTTAACCTGAGATAGTTAGAAAGAGACAGAAAATCACATTTGCTGCTGGGAATTTTACAGTCTCTGAGAGCTCACCTAGCAACACGCATCAGGAACTCAGAAAATATACACACAGGGTTGAGGCTGGGGCTCAGCTGGTCCAGTGCTGTCCAGCATGCACAAAGCCTTGGGTTCCTTTCCCAGCACTGCCTAAGCCAGGTGTGGTCACACACGCTGTGGTCCCAACACTCAAGAGGTGGATACAGAGGGTGTAAAGCTCAAAGCTATCTTTGACTATATAGCAAGTTCAAGGCCAGTTTGGGCTGCCAGAGACCCTGTCACAAAAAGGGGGGCAGGAAATATATATAACACAGTCTTTGATACAATTGCTTCATGGGTTGATGCTCATTCTGTAGGGTTCATCACAGATGGTAAGTAGTGCTATACCTCAAATGTGTTCACTCACACACATTGAGTAGTCTATGCTGACCAAACAGGACCCGTTCTAACACACAAATGAGAAACCTCTGGGGGAAATTTCAGAAGCTTTGGATTTTAATTTGGACTACTCAGAGAGGTAAGTAAGATCTGAATTAGCAGTCAATAACAAAACGGGTTTTCCAGAATGCTGTCTCCCCTTTGGAGAGCCGAGGAGACTCCAAACAGCATGATGGTGTGAAGCCATGATAATCAATTTAAAACACACAGAGAGGGTGCTGGGGAGACGGCTGAGCTGCTCAAGAGCAACTGCTCTTCTTGCAGAGGACCCACCCAAGTTCATTTCTCAGCACCAAGGTCAGGTGGCTGAGAACTGCCTGTAACTCGAGCTCCAGGGGATCAGACGCCCTCTTCTGGCCTCCAAAGTCACCTGCACTCACATGCACATACCCACACACAGACACACAGAAATCTTTAAAGCTACAAAGAGAAGTTTTATTGTAACTATGTAGTAATTTCCCGTTCAGCGGTCCCCACCCACTACTTAATCCACCTCAGGCTTTCTGTATTCTTTCCACCCGTTGGAGTCCTGTGAGCATCAAGATTTATGACAGTGGAGCTAAATAGCCAATAATGAGGGTGTAAAATGGAACGATGAGCGTCCACCAAACCATGTAACAAGAACATCTCCGTCACAGTGTGCAGTCCTTCTATTTGATGTTCCTGTGTTATTTTTTATGTTGCATGAAATTATCACAAAATCAGTGATTTGAAATATGTGAGGAGTATTGTTAGTCCCTCTGCTTAGGTCTCAGGATGTCCAGGCTGGATCTCATTTGAGACTGTATCTTCTAGGGGTTTTCTGTCGATGTGAGATTAAAGCCAGGGTCCTGGCAGCCCTGATGAATCCGGTTCACTCACCAACCCTGAATACACTAATTCAAGAGGCAGCAACAGTGAAAACCGGGAAAAGACTTACTCAATGTGATGACATGGGGAAGAGGAACTGAATAAAGAGGTCCAGTGAACCCCAAATCTAGCCTCAAAGTCATAACATGAGCTTTTAGTTCAAAAGAAGGCAAGAGGTACACATCACCAAGCAGACCTGGTCCAAGCAGAAACGGCCCATCACTGACCCCTCACTGTCCAGGTTTCAGTCTGTGCTGCAGGCTGGACTGACAAGTCAGAACTGTGTGACGCCTCTTCCTGGGAGACAAGGTTTCCCTCTGGATGACCCTAGATTCGACATTATCCTTCTCCCAGAACAGGCTCCTGGGAAAATTTTAATTCTCTGGGGCTCAGGGTTTCAATAGTTTGGTAGCCAAAGGAAGGGGCACAGAGAATTCTCCTTCTAATGTCTTCACTCCTGAGGGATGATTACTTCCGGGCTTGTGACTAGACTTGTGATAGAATTCCTTCTTTGGGATCTTGTGTCTCCAAACCCAAGAATTTTCTTTGGTGATCTTGTAAAAGGCTCAGCTTATCAGAACCAGTGCACAGTGGGAATTTCATCTTTGGATTAAAGCAGGCAGCTGTCCTGCACCTCAGCTGCAAAACCCCTTTGCCTTAACTCTGTACGATCTATGCACAGATCCTCCTCATAAAGAAGAGTGCACCTACCAAGGGATCAAGGAGGTTGACAGCATTTGGGCCACCAAGATGTTGTATGCATTTTTGCAAAGAGCAAACACTTGAAAAGCCATGCACTGAAATTGTCACCCTGGTCTCTGCATACTGAGATGACACATCTATTTCCTCTTTGAAGCTGCCTCCGTTTTTCAAATCTTCCATGGGAAGACAGACTTCTGCAGTAAGAAAAATCAAAGAGATTGTGAAGTGATAGGGCCTTGTGGATCTGAATAAGCTCCAAGGACTCATCAAGGCTGAAGCTCTCGACTTGATCACGGGCCCCTAATTTGCCCTTGAATATTAACCATTTGGAGGACTAGGGAGTGACCTGAGTTGGTAAAGTGCTGGACCTGAGTTTAATCCCCACACTCACATTTTCAAAAAGCCAGGCTTCATGGAGGCCACTGGGGAGGCAGAGACAGTATGATCCCTGGGACTTAACAGCCACTGTAGTCCCTAATCATATAGACAGATCCCAGGACAGTGTGAAACCGGAGAACAATGAAGTAGATGGCACCTGAGGAAGGACAGTTAATGCTGTCCTCTGCCCTATACATGCATATGCATACATGTGTCCATTGTGCGCAGGCGCGGGCGCGCGCGCGCGCGCGCGCACACACACACACACACACATAAACATATGCAAATATACATAGACACATATAAACATACATACACATAAATATGCACATGAACACATGCATACATCACACACACCTATGTATAAGCTATGCCATTTACTCCCTTTCTCAGTCACAGCCTGTGCATTCCACCCAGCATTTCCGACATCGTATTTGTTTTAAAATTTGACCTATTTACCCATTTCTAAAGTGGTCAGGAGTTCTCACAGAGGTGGGTCACCGCGGCACGTATCAGGGAGGAAATGGCAGAGCAGACAGCTAACGGGGCCCAGGAAAAGGGTTGCTTCTCGGAGACTGTTATCCTGGACCTCTCCATGCTCTGTGGCACTGACCAAGATGACTTTCAATAAGGGGTGGTCGGCAAACAGGGCCAGGGGCGGTGACTTAGGGTTATTACTGCTGTGATGAAACACCGTGATCAAAAGCAACTTGGGGAGGAAAGAGTTTATTTCACTCATACTTCCATCTTCCAGTTCATCACTGAAAGCAGTTAGGGCAGGAACCCAGGACAAGAACCCAGGCGGAAGTGCTGCTTGCTTTCCATGGCTTGCTCAGCCTGCTTTCTTATAGAATCCCGGACTACCAGTTCAGGGGTGGCCCCGCCCACAATGGGCTGGGCCCCGCCCCCATGAATCATTAATTAAGAAAGCGTACTGCAGGTTGCCTGCAACCTGATCGTATGGAGGTATTTTCTCAATTGCGGTTCCCTCATCTCAGATGACTCTAGTTTGTGTAAAGCTGACATAAAACTAGCCAGTTCGGGCAGGGTCACAGCATCACTGTAAAAGAAAGGAGTTGAGCGAGAGCAAGGCAGACTTTTAAGCAAAGTTCTGTATTTCAGACAAATCTGTTGGGATAAGAGTGGGTTTCACCGAGGTTGGTGATAATAAACTGACCTCCCAAAACCTTTCAAAACTCAGACACCGGCAGCGCGAAGGTATTCAGTAGCTTGCACGTTCAGGATGGGTGTTTTAAAAAAAAAAAGGGTGGTAAGGGGCCCAGTGACTTCTGCTATCGCAGACTTCCGATCGATGGAGAAGAAAGCTATTTCCTAAGGATTGCTCCCTTCTCCGCTAAGAGAAGAGCACGTACTTGTCTTGCATGTGCAAATAATTTCATTTTCAATCACTGGAGTGCCACAAAGAAAGAGCTAGAGCTTTGCAGAGAAGCCTGGGGGTCGAACAGCGTCACGTCCCACCTCTAATTATCGGCACCATAATGGACTTTGCTCCGGTCTGAAAAACCTGGTGTCCAGGGGCATCGGCTGGCATTCACCCAGAGCAAACCACAAAGCCGTTGCTTCTCAGATTCCTTCTCCTTTGACCAACCTTCAAATGACAGAATAGAAGAGATTCTTAGCCAACTCCCCTTCGTGGGCGACTGAAAATTACCCGTCCTACAGTTTGGACAATAGATATTAATAAACGCAGTATTATTTTTCAAACTTTATTATCCACAAGAGAAATGTCCTTTTAATCACCGCGGTGTTGAATTGCAGCCGATGGATTCATTTCTATTTTAATTAGAAAACTCTAGAGAGTTCCCGTGCCAGCAACACAGGGCTGTTGCTTGCTAGACTTTGCCGGCCACTGGCAGGTGGCGAGAGCCTCATTATTCTGCGCAGGTCCTTTCCCTGACTGTTTTAGAAGGAACCACTAGGTTCTTTATCCTGCTTGTCAGTGGGTTATGCCGCAGCTGCGGATTATGCTAATTCTTGCTTACTTGCAAATAGGCCTGTGTTTATTTTGTGCCTCACCAGCTGTCAACAAAGACATTTTGGAAATAATTCCCATATTTAAAGGCAGACTTTGTTCAAGGGGTCCTGCTGCGAGTGTTCCCAGTATCTGGCCCACAGGACGGATTATTGGACTACCTCTGAAGTGGGAAAGCTGGGTGGGTGTGGCCCCAACCCACCGAAGTCCTGTTTAGTTTCCTTTCCTCATATCTCTGTCTCCTTAGCCTGTAAGTTTTGCTGGAGCCGAAACCGGGCCTGGTTTTTCTGCAAGAAACCTAAAATGTCGCTCTAACCGGTTCTTCACAGATTGGGAGGGAAAATCTCATTTTATGGTGGTTAGGGCGGCTGAAGATTTCATTGCTTTCAAATCAGCATTCGAGCAAACATCCTCTCAAATAGGAAACCTAACACTTCAGAGAGCCTGCCTCACTGTCCCTGAGGCTTTGAAAGCGTTCCTACTTAACAATCGCAGTGGAAAGCAGGTGACAGTCTATAAGCAAATAATTGCGTACCTGATCTTACTTCGGGGTTATATCCTATTTACGGGTCCTTTTCCAGATTTTATTTGATTTGATTTCATGGAAGAAGTAGAAGAATGTTTAATTACTTTTTTCAACAAGTATTGCTTTTCAAACCAAGTTGGGAAAAGTCAGCAAATCAAAGAGCATTTAATTTCCACCAGGTGTTTTTCTTAGAACCGTTTTTCCACCCAGCCATCTTTTCAGTTAATAGGTGAATTCAGATGAAACAATCCGTGTGTAAGAAACACTCCCACCCACACCGCTGAGAACACACTTTCATTCGTGGTTTCCCAGAAGGTTTAGCTCATTGTTTAAATTTCTCTCAAGTTACATTCACAGGCACCATCTCTGTCCCGTCCCCATCTGTGTCCCCCCCCCATGCAAAACACAATGTGAACAAAGGAAAAATTCAGCACACTTAAGATTCTCCTGGTGGGGGGTGGGGAGAGCACTGGACAAACTCCCTCGTGTCCAACAAACATGCAGACCTGATGAGCTACTGAAAGGTGGGAACTTAATACTGAACCCCACTTATCCCCAAGCTGCCTCAAATGGTCCAGATGCCAGCATGTAGTCATTGTTTACCCATCAAGCTTTGTACAAAACTTGAGTGTTGAAGGAGCAAATTAGCAGGATCTGTTCCTGAAAGGTTTAATTGAGGATATGCAAATTAATGCTAGTCGGCCCTTGACCTTTTGGGGGTGTGGTAATGAGAACACCCTTCCAAGTAAGTGAGGGCAGAGAGAGATGAGGCATCACACTGCACAGAGTGTTATGTGGGAGTCACAAATGGAGAGACACCAGTGAGGGACATTTCAAAGACAGCTTGAAAACTGTTTAGAGAACCTAGATCTACGACTGCCATTGGTTCAAATCCCACCACTGCCGCTCATCAGCTGTGTGTGTGTCAGTATGTGAGTGGATACATGGTGAAATATCCAGACCGTGGAGTATTATGCAGTGCTGCAAAGGGATGAGCTAACAAGTCATGAAAAGAAAAGTGGTGATGGGGATAATGGTGATGGTGATAAAAAAAAAAACGGTGATGATAGATGATAATGTTGATAATAATAGTGATTACGGTGATGGTGATATGATTATGGTGATGGCAATAATGATGGTAATGACGGTGATGGTGATAACGATGGTAATAAATAGTGATGATGGGATGATGATGGTGTGTGGTGGTGATAATGATGGTGACGTGGTAATCATGGTGGTTATGACAACAGTGAAAATATTTACAAGAAGTGTGCCTGAAATAAATCACCTTGTCATCCATTCTCAAAGTTCAGTCATGAGGCAGCTGCTGCTTTGGCTTCTCAAGATCTCTCAGAATGCTGAGAATCAACACTTCTTGGGGGAATGTGGCACCCTCTTGTCCTGAGCTGCTGGAATTGCATTTGGGGGACCAGTAAAGTTTCATGGCATGGGCATTATCATCTACAGACAGAAATGGTCCTATGGAGAAAACATCACTCAATAGTGAGAGGAAACACAACACTTTCTCTCTTTGCCAGGGCAAGGTGGTGCTGCATTGTTAAAGAATGCAGGCGAGTATGTCCATATATGAACTTAAGTGTTCATTTTTTTAATTCTTTGCAGGGTGTTTTTTGCTTTTTTGTTTTGAGGTAGGGTTTCTCTATGCAGCCCTGGCTTTCCTGGAACTAGCTCTGTAGACCAGGCTGACCTCGAACTCAGAGAAAGATCTGCCTACCTCTGCCTCCTGAGTGCTGTGATCAAAGGTGTGCATCACCATTAAATGTTCAACATTATTTCTCATGATGATGGCAGAGTTAGAATAAGTGGTACTCACTTTTTCCATGTGGGTTTACTCTTCCAGGTATAGACTCAGAGAACCAACCAAGTCTTCCTGCAGACCGAGGCTCAACCATGTTCAACACAAAACTTCAAGTTTCCTGTGCTCAGCTGAGACAAACAGCTTGAAGGGTATGAATATACCAGATGGCAAGCCGCAAATTTCTAAGGGTCACAGCTGGATAAGGCTCCCATGGATTCTGTTCTCATTTAGTTTCCTAATATTCAGATACATGGCCACACTGAATAATGTCACCCAGGGATGTTCAGAATGAATATGTTTAAAAAATACTCACCCAATAGTTCCTGCTACAGATGAATGGCAAGGGACAGCCTCTAGTCCCCACAGGCCATATCTGATCTACTCAGGGTGTGTCTGCTCCTCTCCACATCCTTCTTAGGAGCCCAGTGTCTTCATTCACTTACTACTGCTGTGATTACCACTATGACCAGAAGCAACTTGGGAAGGAAAGAATTTATTTCAGCTTACAGGCAACAGTCCACCAGGGAGGAAGGCAGGGATTATGGTAGTTTGAATGTTAATTGGCCCTCATAAGCTCATAGGGTGTGGCCCTTTTTGGAGGTGTGGCTTTTTTGGAGTGGGTGTGGACTTGTTGGAGGAAGTATGTCACTGTGGGGATGGGCTTCTCTTAGTATGGCACTCAGATCATTTCCTGTTGCCTGCAGGTCAAGATGTAGGACTCTCAGCTCCTTCTCCAGCACCATGTCTGCTTGCACACCACCATGTCACACCATGATGATAATGGACTAAACCTCTGAAAATGCAAGCCACCCCAATTAAATGTTTTTCCTTTATAAGAGTTGCCGTGGTCATGGTGTCTCTTCACAACAATAGAAAACCTAACTAAGACATGGATGTGGAGGCAGGGACGGGCAGAAGCCATGGAGGAATGCTGATGATGGGCTTGCTCTCTATGACTTCCTTAGCCTGCTTCCTTATACCATCCAAGACTACCTATCCAGGGGTAGCACTGCCCACAGTGGGCTAAGTCCCCAGCATATCAATCTAGAAAATGTACCACAGGCCCATCTAATGGAGGCAATCTCTCAGTTGAAATGCCCTCTTCCTGTGTAACCATAGCCTGAGTCAGGCTGGCAAAAGACTAACCAATACACCCAGAGAGGATGCTCAATTTAGAAATATTAAACCGAACTTAGAAACACTAAGAATATTCCTCGGTCCCCAAGACAGAAAGTGTTAAAAAAAAAAATTAAACTCTTATCATAATCACTAGACAGCATTTTGGCATGGTTATATGGCACAACTCAGTAAGGTCTATTTTCTCTTTCAGCTCAAGAGTGTATGAACAAACTCCATGTCACCCTAAACTAGGGGGAGCTTGTTATTCACTGTGCTGGCTAGTTTTTTGTCAACTTGACACAAGCTGAAGTCATTGGAGAAGAAGGAGCCTCCACTGAGAAAACGCCTCCATAAGATCAGGCTATAAGCAGGCCTGTAGAAATATAGAGCGTTTTCTTAATTAGTGATCAATGTGGGAAGGCCCAGTCCACTGTGGGTGGTGCCAACCCTGGTAGTCCTAAGTTCTATAAGGAAGCAGGCTAAGCAAGCCATGGGGAGCAAGCCAGTAAGCAACACCCATCCATGTCCTCTGCATCAGCTCCTGCCTCCAGGTTCCTGCCATGTTTTGAGTCCCCCATCCTGACTTCCTTCTGTGATGACCAGCGTTGTGGAAGTATAAGGCAAATAAACCCTTTCCTCCCGAACTTGCTTTTGGCCATGGTGTTTCATCACAGCAGTAGTAACCCTAAGACGTTGTATTTAATTTGTGCTGTGCCTTCATAAGCCCCAATTTAGAATTAGACAGAGCACATTGTGGTCTCCTTTGTAACCTTTTAATTATTTACAAAAGATTGGCAGTTGTCAGCATTCCATGGCCATTCTCGGTTAAAGGCTTAGCCTGAATGAATTCTGAAATATAAATTTAGAAAGCCGAGTCTAATCTGAACTGAATTTATGAGGTTCACAATCTTTATTTTCAAAATTCACTCAACACCCCCATCCCCTGAAGTCTACCTCCTGGAAAGACATATGTGAGCCGTTCACAGACCACCTTGTCTTCTATGTTCAAAGAACTCTTTCACAGTCAACCTGTTTCTCATGCCCTTCTTAACGCCGAAACTTTTTCTGGTTTAAATGGATGGGAAGCAGCGCATAAATTTCACTCAGAAGAGACCTGTAAATGAATAGAAGAGTAAAAGAAAAGAAAAGATCCTCACAGCCTGGAAGCGAGGAAATTATAAGAGAAAATATCAAAAAGGAATTGTCGTGAACTGGGAGAGCAGAGGATATTTCTAACCTTGATCCAGACACATCTGAGGGTGTGAGTGAAGAAGGGTATATCCCTAAGACTTCTTCCCAATTGCACCTGAGTAAATTCCACGTTCCTCAACGGTAGGTCCACAGCTGTGCCATCATGGATCACCCGCTTAAACCCGTGACTGACCTTTTCCTGTTCGCCGGCATCCTTCTCTCACACAGAATTGTTCCCAGGCAGTTGTTAGGACCAAGCAGAGCAATAGAGGTAGTTGTTGCTATGGTTTCCAGAACAGACTCATGCAAGCCATGAGGAGAATCAGCTTCTCCACTGATGCCCACTCTGAGGCTTGCTAAAATTTTTGTTTTCCAGTACCCCTGGTTCCCCAGTGAGCTGTTGAACTCCAGGATCCTAGCCGCCCGCAGCACGTGAACTACATTGAAAGACTTGAATAGAATCTTTTTTTTTACTATTTTTTCTAGTTAGCATACAAAGAAATAGGTCTCACTATGGCATTTCCATACACTGTCACAGCGTATACTGTCAGGGGCATGTGGCTTCAAGGATCATAAAAAGAGAATTGGGGACAGAAAGAGGAGGCACACTGAGTTCTCACAACCCCAGTTCAAAGTGACAGGAACCATTCACATTTATAAGTCATTGGCCAAAAATAGCCACATGACCTCAGGGAATTGTGCAAAACTTAGGGGTGTACATAAGATATTTGAGGAGTACAACTAGCCTCTGCCACACTCAGACATCCGAAGTCTTATCAAAACACCTTCTGAGAGCTCTACTGGAGCAATGGTAAGATCTGATTAACATTTATTCATTATTAGCAGAGTATTTTACACCTCAGCTGCCTCCACATTTGTTCTGTCAACTTGACTGAGTAGAAGAAAGCAAACACATGCAGGAGAATAGGATCAGAGGACATGGGGGGTCAACGTTATTAAGCTGTATTAAGCACTGTTTTATATGCCTCTTCCCTGGAGTTTTCCTTCTTCCTCTTCCTTTCCTCCTCCTCCTCCCCCTTCTTCTCCTCCTCCTCCCCCTCCTCCTCCCCCTCCTCCTCCTTCTCCTCCTCCTTCTCCTCCAAGACAGGGTTTCTCTGCGTAGCCCTCACTGTTCCTGGAAGTCACTCTTTAGACCAGGCTGGCCTTGAACTCACATAGATCCACCTGCCTCGGCCTCCCACATACTGGGATTAAAGGCCTGTGCACCACCACCACCCAGCAAGTTTTACTTCTAATAGGCCTTGATCCACAGTTCTTAGTGAAGAGCTGAGCTCTGGAGCCTTGGCCACTTTGTGAGCTTTAAGAGGAAAGTCATTTGAGCAACAGGCTTCCCTGACCTCCACGATTGAGTAGCTCATCTGTGTACTTGACTTTCTTTCACTTCCCCAGTGACTCTTCCACTAGCCCGTGTCAGATGGTGGCTGAATTCTGCTTCAGAGAGTTTAAGGGTTAGTCCAGGTGGGGAAGCCTTGATCAGATCTTAATCCCCACCCCCCCACACACCCCTTGCCAAAGAGCCAGGTGCTGAGTCAAAAGTCTCATTTTTCCCCAGATCCTCATGTGGCAAAGTGAGGTTTGCATCCTGGGGTGATATGCACAAAACAAGAGGGGTTTTATCACTTCCCACACTCACCACAAGCCCATACACACCAGTCCCCGCTGTTGCCGCTAAGTTCTGAACCCATCTCTCACTGGTCCTTTGCTGTGGCTATGCTGAGCAGAGACCACCCCTAGGGGTCCTAAAGATCCATGGAATTGTATTTCTAACCTTAAGAGGACACTTGGGGAAGAGCAAAATATGGTCCAGACAGCAGTCCTTATAACAGTGCAAAAAGAAGGCTACCAAGCTTCATTTCAATGCTATTAAGATGGTTTTAAAGCCTCGTGTTTTCTAAATATATTTAACAGCATGGAGAGATGCTTCTAGCGTATTGGTTTTTAATAGATGAATGAGTCCAATTTTCCAAAAACAGTGAAATAAAATATGTTTCTGAAAGTTTCCACCCGTTACTTATGAATACATTTCTTTGTTTTATGCCCAATACAAACAAGAGAAGGAAATAAATCAATATATTAACATGGTTATTTCTACTAGAAACATAAGTGGTTTTTCTTCTTTTTATGCTTCTTAAGTTTCGTCTTTCTGTAATAAGCATATATAACTTCATCGCTATGATGCCTCCATTAGTATACTCGATCGGTTAGTTTTTGTCAACTTGATACAAACTGGAGTCCCCTGGGAACAGAGTCCTCCGCTGAGGAATTACCCACATTAGGTTGACCTGTAAGCAAGTCTATGGGCCATTTTCTTGACTGATGTTGGATGTGGGAGGTCCCAGCCCACTGTGAGCAATGGACAGGCTGGGCAGGTTGTAGGAAGTAAGCCAGTAATCAGCATCCCTCCACGGCCTCTGCTTCCATTCCTGCCTCCAGGTTCCTGCTCTGAGTTCCTTCCCTGACTTTTATCCACTGATGGACAACTGCAAGCCGAAGTAAACCCTTTCATCCTGAAGCTGTTTTTTTTTTTTTTTTTTTTTTTTTTTGGTCAGTGTTTTATCATTGCAACAGAAAGGCGAAGATATAGATACAAGTTGATGATAGTTGACAGCGAAAAAAATTGCACCCGACAGTTTATGTCAACCATCCACACTTCAGCCACAACCTGGACCTGTCTAGAAACAGCGTCCATGCAACAACCTCAAGGCAGGGTAGAAAGCAAATCTTGGTGCAGGACAATGTACTGTGTGGTCTCTAAGGTGCCGACAGGCAAATTTATCACACTCTTCGTTTCTTTTTTTTTTTTTTTTTCATTGCCTTTAATTTTGGAGCAGAAAATCAGGCCCGATTTATCAGGCTCTTTTTATTACTGATTAGCGAGGCATCCAGCGACAGAGAGGCAAACATCGAATGTGTGCTTGCTTCCCAAGCAGCGGCTCCATCTTGCTGACGGCAGCGCGTTTCCTCTCTGTCCTCATCAGATGCAGCTCCAAGGTTCGGCTCTGTCACACGCACAGATGCCAGATGCTCTTCCTGATTTGAATTTCAAGCTCCATGGCAACAGTCACCCAACTGTGCCCATCCCTCTCCAACGGGAAGGTCTAGACCCTAACTCCATCTTAAGCTCCCTGGTGGCCTTCGAGTCTGACCTCCACAGCTGCTAGCCTGGCCAACCACCACTTGGGGGGGTTATTTTGAGTGTCTTCCATTGCGTGTGATGGTGATGTGATTACATATGCGAATTGCCAACTCTGTGGGGATGGGATCCAGAGACTCTGAGGACAAGCCCTGGTCATGCCTCTCTGTACCAGGCTTTCTTTTTTGGGCCACCAAGCAGCTCCCAAATCATGACATGGAGACTTATTATTAGTTTTGAGTGCTTGGCCTAGTTTAGGCTCATTTTTGGCTAGCTCTTTTAATTTAAATTAACCTGTTTTTATTTATCTACCTTTTGCCTCGGGGCTTTTTACCTTTCTTTCTGTATGTCCTACTCTGTGTCTGCTGTCCAGCAGCTGCCTGGCTGGCCCTAGGTGTCTCCCTCTCTTTCTCCCTTATTCTCTCCTCTCTTCTTCTTCTTCTTCCTTGAATCCTTTCTTTTGAGCCTAGATTTCCCTCCTATTTATTCTCTCTCCCTGTCAGCCCCACATATCCCTCTCCTACCTAGCTATTGGCCGTTCAGCTCTTTATTAGACTAATCAGGTTTCTTAGGCAGGCGAGGTGAAACAAATGCAATACATAATTAAACAAATAAAGCATAAATAAACATAACACAACTTACATCATTAACAAAGGCAGCAGAAACAAATGTAACACACCTTTACACAGTTAAAGTAATAGTCCACAGCATAAGCAAAGGTAACACATCTTTGCCTAATTAAAATAATATTCCACAACACCTGCATTGCTTCTTTTGCCTGTCATTGTGGTTCCTCCGTCACACATCACTAGCAAGCTCACCTCCTGAGATGGGAGTCAGACATGGAGAGGGAGGGTGTTCTCTAAGGAGTTGTTGTATACAAGTGTCTTAGCCATCAAGACTTTTCACCTGTTGACTCTCCTTCTAGGAATAATTCATTGTTTGGATTGAATGCTCATGTTCATCCTTCCTTCAAATTCCCACATTGAACTCTGACTCCAGAATAGCAGCATTTGGAGATGAGACCCATATGGAAATAGCTGAATTGAGATGTCATCCTGAAGGGGAAGCCCAGTACCCAGCCATGTGCCCAGTGATGTTCCATATTCAGCCTGAGACTCAAGAATGAAGGCAAGTCAGAGGAAAGTCCCAACCATTTTTTTTAATTCATAAAGTGTTTATCTATACTATATTTTGTGTTTATCCAATTGTCCTAGTTGGTCTTAATTGTCAGCTGGACACAGCCTAGAATCACGTGAGAGGAGAGACCTCCATTGAGGAATTGCCTAGATCAGGTTTGTCTGGAGGAGGGTTTGTCTTGATTGTTATTGATAGATGAGGGCCCAGCCCACTGTACATGGTGTCATTTCTCAAGCATGAGGTCCTGAGCTATGTAAGAAAGCCAGCTAAGCATGAGCTTGAGTGAGCCAGCTAGCAGTGTTCTTCCATGGTTTCTATGTGGAGTTCCTGCCCAATTATGACCAGTAATGGGCACAACGCAGTGAGGAGTTGCGGGCTCTAGAACGCATCTATCCATCTGCTCATTTACTTGGTTTTTTTTTATAACAGTATTATATGGTGAGAATGTTCATTAAGCTTATTGTTCAGAATACCCCCAAAAAGTAGAACATGGAAATTAAGTCATTCCAATGTCACAAAGCTGTTGTGGGGCAGAGCCTGACATCTCACCGGGTTCTTGCCACTGCAGAAGTCACTGACCTAATTTCCATGCCTTTCCCATGACCCATCAGTGAGCCAAGGTCACTCAAGGACCTTCCTGCCCATTCAGACCAATGGCCATCATTCTTAACAACCCAGTCTCCTGGTTCACAGCATATTCTTGTTGTATCCTCATGTATTGGAAGGGGTAAGGCATCTCTAGGTTCCCTCCTACTCTCATTCTGACCCCTAGAGGCTCATGGCCTACACATCCCTGAAGGACACTTCCTAATAGCACCGTGTTGGGGTCAGCAGTTAAACATATGAATTTGGAGGCTTCTGAACACCCAGTCCCACTGGTACCTCAGTACCGACTAGGGCTCAAATTTATCATCCACAGAAAACTCAAGGACGCATCGCACTAAGGCTGAATCACCAGGATGATTAGGGGTCCTGGCATCATCATGATGACGCTTTCCTTCTTCCCAGGCTGTAGCCACAGGATTCCATTAGGGAACGTGATGTTGTAGACAGAAGGGCTGAGAGACAGTGCCCAAGGGGATGAAGAAGGCACTGCCAATTCTCCACCTTGCACAGACC